GCGGTGGGGACCAGTCGTGGGAGAGCAGGGAGGACGCCCTGTGGAGCAGGCAGTCAGGGGGTAGATTAAGGTGCTGCAGTAGGGTATGTGCAGCTGTGACCGAGGAAATGTAGGCAGCAGGAGCCTCCGAGATGGGGTCTATGATGCCTAGGCCTCCCAGCCAAATTGGGAGCGTGGCCTGCCGCCACAGTAGGCTCTGCTCCAACTCCGATGTGGGGATGTGGAGCTTTGCCGCTGTAAGTGCCGAGCCCACCAAGGCTCGCTCTATTCCCTCCACTCCACCCGGGTAAGGCATGTCGCCGGTGTCGTCCGTAGCATGTAGGAGTTTCGGCGGGAGATACTGCGGGATACTATCAGCATGGCGTGTTGCGGGTTGAGTCGGGAGATGAGGGGGAGAGGTGCCGCTGCTTCCTCCAGAGCTGCTCGGACTTGGGTGGTGCAGAAGGCATCGCCGCCGATTGGGCTTCCGAGGACCCTAATGCCTCCCGGGTTTGCCGTTAAGCCCAATGGCCAGTCCGCGTGTGTGTCCTCGTTCATGGCGCCCCATGCTGAAGACTTGGAGATGTTGCACTGCAGGCCGCTCGTCGCAAGTTCGCCAGCTATCTTGGCGAACGCGAGGCATGCTGCCACACGCGGGCCAACGATGGTGATGTCATCTGCGTAGGCCACCACCGCCACCTCTGGCATTGTCGCCGCGACACTCAGAAGGGCCGGCTGAATCGCAGCTGCGAACAACAGGGGGCCTAGGGGATCTCCTTGGCACACGCCTCCAGAACTCTGGATTGAGGCGACGCCAAAGCGCTCGTCGGTTAGCAGGCGTGAGGGGCCATTGTAGAGGTTGCGCACGAGGGGAAGTATCGGGCTGAGATTCGACCATTGGAGCGAGGCGAGGAAGGAAGGGCGCTCGACGCTCTCTCTCTCTCTCTCTCTCCTCTCTCTCGTCGTCTCTCTCTCTCTCTCTCTCTCTCTCCTCTCTCTCTCCTCCTCTCTTCATCTCTCTCCTCTCTCTCTCTCTCTCTCTCTCTCTCTCTCAAGCAGTCCTGCATTGATGTGTGTATAGGGTACAGGCAAGGCCACAGCAAACCTAACAAGCCTATTGGCCTAGGCATGCAATGCTATAACAACAGAATTACAATCTGGGCCTATGTTTGGGCCGGCTGGGCATGCCTGGCTGCATAGTCACCCCACCTGTCCCTACAGCAACACCTTTGCTGGCCTGCTCAGCCTCCTACAGGGCGTCTCAATCCCCTCCTGGCCTGCCCAGCTGAGGAGAGCCCTCTGTGTGGGCAGGCCCCTATGGCCTTGCCCGGCCCTCTACTCCCCCAAGTCGAGTAGCTGGGCCAGGTCATCCTCAAGGACCTGCCACAGGTCCCCGAGGCTTGGTTCCCACGGGTCCGCTGCTGCCTGGGGGTGCGCTGCCTCAAGTGCCCTGTTGGACTTGGCCATCAGGGCATTTGTCTGGCAGCGCTGGAGCATCACCGACCACCGCTGCCGGTAATGTGCCGTGAGTCTGGAGGCTACGGCAGTTAGCCTCCCCTGTCTGTGCTTCTTCTTAGCCGCCTGGGTGCCCAGGAGGCGGAAGAACCGTTGGGTGTCCCTAGCTAGGGCCCCGTAGGTTTCCACCGCCAGACCAAATACCTCGACAAAACCCGGGCGGCCCTCGTACAGGCCCCGCTTCACTCGTGCCGCGTCCTCTGCCGCCCACCCTGGTGCCTTTACCGCTCTCTTATCACGCCGCTGCAGGACGGGGTCCGTGACCGTCACATCAGTGACATAGGTCTCGTTGGACTCCTTGTCGCGGATCACCACGTCTGCTCGCTTTTGGTTGGTTATGGGCGAGAAGGCCGCTGACTCGTACAAGGTTGTGTAGTCCGCTTCCTGAGCCATCCGGAGCACCGCGTACGCCAGAGCGTTGTGAGTGTTAAACCTGTCCCCTCCATCGGCACACCGCAGCAGGTGATTGGGCAGGCTTCTGTCCCCGATGTCCGACCGCTTCCCTTTGCAAGGGCACTTGTCCGTGACCGCCACTGGCAGACCTAGCCGGAAGCCTAGCGCCACTGCAAACTGTCCGGGGGAGAAGGTGAGGTCACCCCTTGTGGGGATTGCATGCAACCAGTCTCCCGCCCCCACCCCTTGCAGGCTGATGAGCCGAATCACGTGTCCATTGTCGGCCCCTGGCTTGTCCGCCCGCGTGTCTCCCACAAGCTCGGCCGCCCGGTCTAGGTTTATGTGTTTTGAGAGGATCAGCTGCAGGTGCCCCTTTATCTCCCCCTTCTTGTGGTGCTCCTTCAGGACCTCCCGGGCCTGATCGGGGAGCCGGTTCCGAAGGTCCACTAGCGTCACCTCCCCTGCCGCTGCCCCTGGATGCCTCCCATTGGTGACACCAGGTCCGCCACCCGCTGCAGTGGGTTGTCTGCCGTCATCGCCATATGTCTGAGGAGGGTGTTGGCTGCATGTAGGGAGGCCAGGTATGCCGCCGGTGCCTCCGAAAGCGGGTCTATCAGCCCCAGGCCCCCTAGGCAAACCGGTAGCGTGGCCTGGCGCCAGACCAGGCTCTGCTCCAGTTCGCTTGCAGGAGCGTGCATCTTTGCAGCTTTGAGTGCCGTCCACAGCAGTTCCCTCGCTCCAATCCCTCCATTCCACCAGGGGAAGTGTGTCCGCCGGTGTAGTTCGGAGCATGTAGGAGATGCGTCTCGACACACACCTCGAGAGGAGGAGGAGTGCGTGCTGTGGGTGCAGTTTTCTGATGAGGTTCAGTGGCGACGCCACCGTGCACAGGGTTGTTCGTATGGACCTCCTCCCGTACTCTCTAGTCCCTATCGGGCTCCCCAGCACCCGTATCCCGTCGACCGCCGCCACCAGTCCCTCAGGGAGAACATCCGCGCAACCTGCTGGGCACCACGCCGATGATTTCTCCAGGTTGCATCGCAGTCCGCACTTGCGCAGCTCCTCGGTGATGATGTTCACTCCCTTAATTGCCTCCGCCGGCTCGCCGATGATTGTGATGTCGTCCTCGTATGCCATCACTACCGTGTTGGGGCACATCGCCGCCGCCCTCAATAGTGTTGGTTGTATGGCCGCCGCAAAGAGCATCGGCCCCAGTGGGTCTCCCTGGCGCACACCTCGAGCGCTTTCGATGTATCGTTCGTCGAAGCCCGGATCTAGCAGGAGGCGAGCCGGTGCGCCATAGAGCGTGCGAACCAGTGGTAGAAGCGGCTCGAGCGCTGTCCATTGTAGCGCTGTGAAGAAGCTCCCACGTTCGACGGAGTTGAATGCGTTCTCGATGTCCAGCTGTATAGCGATTCGACTTGGTTTGTCCGTCAGCAGTGCTCGGGTAGCGTGGATCACTGTCTCTGCCCCTCCGGGCACCGCCACGCCAAACTGAACTGGGAGAAAAAACTTTCGAATATCGGGTGAGAGTTTCCGTAGCGCGGCTTTCGCCGTTAGCCTAATTATCGCTTCGCCGATGGCTATCGGTCTGACCCCTCCTCCTGGCTTCTCCAGAGCTATTAACCTCGCTGGTAGGAGAAGATCCCTAAGGGACTCACTAAGGTAGGTGCTCAACAACGAGTTGATTACTTGGTGCAGGAGCACGAAGACCTCCCCGTTCAGCAGCGCGGGGTCACGTAAGTGTTCAAAGCACGTGCCTGACGGTCCCGCCCCAATCCCATTCGGGCACTTAGCTAAGACTTCCCGAAATTCGTCCGCCGCTATCGTGAGGGACGACGTGTCGTATCCGGTAACCCACCCTGGCGTTGCCTCCCCCGCTATCGGATGTTTAGCGCGAAGTGCAGCGAGCGTCGCTGGTGTTTGCTCGGCGAGGGGGGTTGACTGTAACGCTGCTAAGGCTTTCGCCAGGTTCGCCTTCTGTACTAGGCCCTCTGCCCGTGCACACATGCCTTCCGGATCGGATTGGTGTCTGCTTGGTTGAGGGTTCGGGGGGATGACGCAGGCTTCCGAGAAGAGCACCTCCCATTCCTCTTCTTGAAATTGCTGAAGTCGCTTCTCCACCACGACCCAGCGGTTTCTCTGAACCTTCTCAATTTCGGCTCGGAGGGTCAACCTGGGTAGGAATTGCAGGATTCGCCATGCCCCCGCGCAGCCTGGAACCTTCGCGAGTCGCAGCAGAGGGATCGTCATGCAGTAGGCGTAGACTCCCAGGATTTTGGGGGGAAGCTTCCGGAACAGGAAGGGTTGAGCGCTGCAACACATTGGCCCCAGCTCCCACCCTTCCACCTGGCGCCAGACGTCTGGGTCATCGGCGATATCTGCTGGTGATCTTGCCTTGCTGGCCGTCTCATTGGGCTGGGCGCCACGTGACTCACCCTCATTGGCTTCCGCTTGGTTTCCTTCACCCCTTGCCCCTCGGTTTGTCCCTCCCGCTGGGATGCCTTGCTCATCCTCCAATGACACGTCCTCTGAATCCCCTTATTCCTCCTCCATATATTCCTCGTCCCCATCTTCCTCGTCGTCATTCATTGGAGCTCCTCCCTGCTCTCGCTCTGGCCTCCCGTGCCTTTCCCGCCAAGGTCCAGATCTGGCTTTCTCTCTAGCCACGGCTGCTGCCAGGTCCCCTCGCCCTGCCCGACCTCGCGCACCTCGTCCGCCGCGTCCCCTCCCCGCCACAGGCGCTCGACCCCGAGTTCCCGCCGGCGGGTTTCCCGCCGCCGCCTCCGCCGCGCGCTCTCGCAGCAGCCTCTGCCGTGCTGTTCCTCCTCGGCGCCTGTCAATCCCGATCACTTGTTCCTCTTCTACGACCACCGCCCCCTCCTCCGCGTCGGCCGCCTCCCTTTCAACTCCTTCGTTGGCCCGTCCCGCGGCGTACTCCGTACCTGATGACGGGCCGGCGCCGGCCGCCTCGGCGTGAAGTGATCGTGGCGGCGGGGTCTCCTGCTGTTCCCACCCTACCAGCGGCCCAGGGCGGGCAGGTGCCAGCCCTGTTCTGAGCCGTCGCGGACTGCCTGACTGCGGGTGTTGGCGCCGCGCCCTCTGCGCCCCCGATGGCGCCTGCTCGACCAAGGGAGCCTGTGTACCGCTCCCCCCACGGGCGCACTCATCCGTTTCTCCGCGCGCGCGGTCATTCCTTCCGTCGCCGCCGCCCCCCTCGCCCGCCGCTGTCCAGCCAGGCTCGTCATCGACCCCAGCTTCAAGCTCCTGCCGCCCAGTCCCACCCGTTGCAACTCCCTCCACCTCAGTCGCAGTCCGCGTCATCTCAACTGGGTGCGCCGGCTGCGCAGGCGCAGTCTGCGCCGCCTGTCCCTCCGTCGCGGCCCCCTCCTCCTGCTCCGGATCCGGCGTTGCCTCCGCGGACGCGTCCTTCTGACCCTGTCGCTCCGTCCTCTCAGGCCGATCACGCTCCTCCGTTAGGCGAACTGGCGCATCCCCCGTCGTCGGCACCAGGGCCAGGCCCGGCGCCGCCTCCCCCTCAGCCGTCTCGTCCACCTCATGCGCCGCCCTCGTCGGCGCCGACCCATGCTGGGCCATATGCTTATACGTACCCGCCTCGGCTGGATGTGGCGGACTCCGCTCCTCCTGGCCCTCGGGGGCTCCCTTTTCCTGTTCCCCGCCTATTGCGGGCCTCGGCGCCAGCACCCCCTCGTGCCGGGGTCTCGTCCCCCTGCAGCTCGGTTCGGATTTGTGAGTTCCCCCCGTTGTTGTCTTCTCCCCGCTCGCCGCGTGATGTCCTTCCCTGCCCCTCACTCTTCTGCTGTGTCGTTTCCCCCGTTTCCCGCCGTCTTGCACTCCCTCCGGTCTCGCAGCATCAGCCTGTGCCTGGCCTCGCCCGCGGCTACTGGAGCGAAGACGAGGTGCCTGGCACCCCTCGTGACCCTGGGATGGATTGGGATGGTGGCTTTTCGTGGCCCCAGGCGCCGGGCGAAGGGAACTGGAACTGGAACACTCCCCCCCCGAGCCCTCCTTGGAGGGAGCCACAGTCTGGAGGCGGGATGCGCATTCAGGAGGTTGGCCGTTGCGTGACTGAGCTCTCGTTCGTGCTTGACCTCCTGCATGACGCCCTTCAGTCTCGGGAGCTGGTAGCGAGGGACCCGCAGATGAATGAAGACCAGCAGGGTCAGGTGCGGCGGGCAGTGTCGCGCGCGCTGTGGGATGTCCTTCATCTGCCGCTTGAGCCCGAGGACCCGGCGCTGGACGATGGACCTGGCGCTGCGGCTTTCCGCATGGTAGCCACGGCTGCTGAGGAGCACCCGCTTGGGATCGTCCCTGCACTCGCGTGTGTGCTCCGGTGGCTTGGGCGGCGGGTGAAGCGGATGTAGGTGTTGCCTTGGCTGTCGCTTTGGTTGTCTGCTTCTTCTTCCCCATTGGTGGGGACTTACCTTAGTCTCGGCCCCCGGGTCTTATACTTGCATGCTTGTACTGCTCCTTGTGCAACTGCCTCCTTCCCCTTTTGTCCTTGCCACCCCTAACGCGCGGCCGAAGGCCGCGCTGTCGAGCGTCGGCCACCGAAGGCGGCCGGCGCGAGCCGCTGGGTTGGGGGGATCCACACTCACCAGAGAATAATGAGAGGAATGAAGGAACCAGGGGGGATATATAGGAGCCTGTACTGCTTATAGGCCTATTGCAGTGGCTACACTAAGGACACAAGGCATAAGGAGCCTTAGGGCTAGGCTAAACTAAGTCTATACTAGGCTAGAGAGCAGGGAGAGACTAAGGACTGGGCCTAGTGCCTCTCTCTCTCTCTCTCTCTCTCTCTCTCTCTCTCTCTCTCTCTCTCTCTCTCTCTCTCTCTCTCTCTCTGTCTCGCTCTCTCGAACGAGCCGCTGGGTTGGGGGGATCCACACTCACCAGAGAATAATGAGAGGAATGAAGGAACCAGGGGGGATATATAGGAGCCTGTACTGCTTATAGGCCTATTGCAGTGGCTACACTAAGGACACAAGGCATAAGGAGCCTTAGGGCTAGGCTAAACTAAGTCTATACTAGGCTAGAGAGCAGGGAGAGACTAAGGACTGGGCCTAGTGCCTCTCTCTCTCTCTCTCTCTCTCTCTCTCTCTCTCTCTCTCTCTCTCTCTCTCTCTCTCTCTCTCTCTCTCTCTCTCTCTCTCTCTCTCTCGCTCTCTCGAACGAGCCGCTGGGTTGGGGGGATCCACACTCACCAGAGAATAATGAGAGGAATGAAGGAACCAGGGGGGATATATAGGAGCCTGTACTGCTTATAGGCCTATTGCAGTGGCTACACTAAGGACACAAGGCATAAGGAGCCTTAGGGCTAGGCTAAACTAAGTCTATACTAGGCTAGAGAGCAGGGAGAGACTAAGGACTGGGCCTAGTGCCTCTCTCTCTCTCTCTCTCTCTCTCTCTCTCTCTCTCTCTCTCTCTCTCTCTCTCTCTCTCTCTCTCTCTCTCTCCCTCGCTCTCTCTATCCTTTGCTGTCTCTCTCCCTCTCTATCTCTCTTGCTGTCTCCCTCACTCGCTCTCACTGTCCAACTTTCCCACTTATCCAGCTTCTTACTATTTCCCCTACTGCTTCTTGTAGTTTTCCTATAGAATATCGTTCTTAACATTGGTAGGTATATTACTCGGTATATATAACCTTGCTATGGCTTTTGCCATAATTATGTTACAGATCCATAGCAATATACTGGTTCCGAATGATTTCAACAATGTGATTTGCTTTCTGCGCTGTCACTGCACTGCTGCACTCTATAAAGTCTTGAACACTCATGCTGTTGCCTCCACCGAGCACATCAAATACAGGGTGGTGCACCTGCTGCTGCTGCTGCTGCTGCTGCTGCTGCTGCCGCTCCTGCTGCTGTTGCTGCTGCTTGTGCTGCAGCAATAGACCAGCACTGCTGCTGCTGCCCCAACAACATCCCGCGAGGCCCAAAGTAGCGACTGCTGGCAAAAAATCGACCTGCAGCTGTGGCTCATCTGGCTGCCCCTGGTGTTCAGATTCCTGCTCTTCTGTCGCCATTGTAGTGTGTGCGGCTACATACTGCCCTGCCGATTGTGATTTCTGCTCGGCTTCGTTGCTGCCTCTCGAGGAAAGCGGGCTGAGGGAACCCCAGCTGCACACACGCGGAAGGGCGCGTGGAAGGGCGTGTGGTGTGGCATGCGGAAGGGCGTGCGGCGAGGTGTGTGGGCCATGTGGAGGGGTTTGGGGAGGGGTATGCGGAGGGGTATGCAGAGGGACGTGCAGAAGGGCATTCAGAGGGTCATGCAGAGGGGCCTGCTGAGGGGTGTGGTGGGGGGCGTGCTCAGAAGCATGCAGATGGGGATGCAGAGGGGCATGTGGATGGGCGTGTGGATCAGGGTGTGATGCGGCATGTGAAGTGGCGTGTGAATGTGAAGGGGAATGTGAAGGGGTATTTGAAGGGGCATGGGAAGTGGCATGTGAAGCAGCATGTGAGTGGGCATGTGAGCAGGCATGTGAAGGGGAATATGAAGCAGCGTGTGAAGGGACATGTGAAGGGGGATGAGAGGGGGAATGTGAAAGGGCATGTAAAGGAGCATATGAAGGGGCATGTGAAGGGGCAGGGGCATGTGGAGGGTCATGTGAAGGGGCATGTGAAGGGGCATGTGAAGGGAGATGTGAAGGGGCATGTGAAGGGGGATGTGAAGCATCTTCCTCCTGAGTAGCACGCGTCATTAGCCAGTTCTCCTGGGCCTTGGCAAGAATCTTTGTGAGCCTTGGGGAAAGCGTCCTCGCTTTGACCAGCTGGCTGGCCGTCGCTGCTGCCGCCGCCGCTGCCGCCGCAGCTGCCGCCTTCTCAAGCCGTGCCGCTTGCCGCTTGTGGCGGCGTGGGGGAGGCCCGCGCTCCTGGTGGTTGTGGTCGCTATGGTACACCGTGACGACTGTGGGCTCGTGGCAGGCGGGTACTCTGCGATGGACTGAGTCTGGGAGGCAGACTGGGGTGCTGCTGGCGGTGTCCGCTGGTATCTCCTCAGCAGATGCTACCATGGTGTGCGGTGTTGCGCTGGTGTTGCCCCCACTGGTGTCAGCAGCAGGCTCATGAGTATCACCCGTGGTGCTGCTCGTAGCACGGCGTGCAGGGCCGAAGTCCATGGTTTTTCTCGCAAGGCAGGCCCTTGGACTATTGGACCAGGCACACCTGTAGTAGCACCTGCATGTGGGGATAAAAGAGAAAGGAGAAAAATGTGAGATGGGAACGGAATTAGGGAAAGAAGAGCCTCTCAGGCATGAGAGGTCTTGGGCCCGTCGAACCCAATGTTATGGCATGGGATAAAGAGAGAAACATGTGAGAGAGCAACAGAAATTACGAATGAGGAGTAACTTAGGCTTCAGAAATTGTGGACCACGACGCACCTGTTGTCCTAGCAACATGTGCGAGGGAGGGTGGGGGGTGGGTGAGGGAGGGTGAAGAGATAAGAGAGGCATGTAAGAGGGGATTACATTGTGAGAGTGAGGGGTAACTCATGCTTCAGGGATCTTGGATCAAGCGCACCGTTGTCCGAGCTCCTACGTGAGGAGGGTAAAGAGAAGCGACAATGTGAGAGAGGTTTGGATGTTGGGAATGAGAGGTAACTCAGGCTTAGAAAATCTTGGTCCAAGCCCACTTGCGAGGGCGGTAACGAGAAAGAGAAACATGTGAGACAGGAATGGAGTGTGGGAACCAAGAGTAACTCAGGCCTCAGACAGCTTGGACCAGGCGCAACTGTTGTTCTAGCATGGAATAGAGAGAAACATGTCAGAGTGGACAATGTGGAAATGAAGAGCGACCGAAGCTTTCAGAATCGAGGACCTCTGAACATCTGTTGTCCTAGCACATGGGGGTTGGGTGAGGGGGGGTTGAGGGTGGAGGAAGAGGTAAGAGAAACATGTGATGAGGGGAATGGATTGTGAGAATGAGGGGTAACTCATGCGTCAGGGATGTTGGACGAGGAGCGCCTGCTGTTCGGGCATGTAAGGAGGGTAAAGGGATAAGAGAAATATGTGAGGAACGGAATGTAGATATGATTTCATGCTTCAGGGGGTCTTGAACCAAGCGCAAACATTGTCATAGCGCTTGTGTGGGGAGGGTAAAGAGAAGCGAAACATGTGAGAGAGGATTGGATCTTCGGAGTGAGGAGTTTATCATATTTCAAGAGTCCTGGTCCACGCACTCTTTGTCCTAGAATCTACGTTAGAGGGGTGCAGATAACAGAAACAGATGTGAGAGGGGAATGAAATTTGGAAAATGAGGAGATCTTGGCTTCTGAGATCTTGGCCGAGATCTTGGCTTCTGAGATCTTGTCCGAGATCTCGGCTTCTGAGATCTTGTCCGAGATCTTGGCTTCTGAGATCTTGGCCGAGATCTTGGCTTCTGAGATCTTGTCCGAGATCTTGACTTCTGAGATCTTGGCCGAGATCTTGGCTTCTGAGATCTTGGCCGAGATCTTGGCTTCTGAGATCTTGGCCGAGGTGCACCTGTTGTGTAGGATCTTGTGAAGCCTTCACTTACGTGACGTTTCTGAGAGGGTAAAAAGATCAGGGAAGGCTCAGAGAATGAAGTGCACTCTCATGCTTCAGAAACATGGGCCAGGCTCACCCGTTGTCCTAACCTATGTGAGGAGGTAAAAATATCAAATGTGAGAGAGGAATGGAATGTGGGAATGAAGAGCACCTCATGCTCCAAAAAGCTTGGACCAGGCTCACCCGCTGTCCGAGAACCTCTGTGAGGAGGGTAATGATCAGAGAAACATGTGAGAGAGGAATGTGATGTGGGAATGAGGAGTCTGGTGCCTCAGGATCTTGGACCATATGCACCTGTTGCCCTGGCATGTACGGGAGGGAGGTAAACGGATAAGAAAAACATGTGAAAGGGGAATAAAATCTGGAGAGAACCTCAGGCCTGAAGTCTTGGAAAAACATATTGGCTTTCCTACTAGAACCTGCATGTGGGGATGAGGACATAGGAGAAACGCATGAGGGGGGGATGATGAGAGGAGTACCTCTGGCTTTAGGCTAGACCAAGCAGCCGGATGTGTTGTTGTCCTGGATGTGTGACCACGTGTTTTTTCAAAGGAAGTCTGGGAAGCGATTTAATGCCGCGCGTCCCTGGATACAGATGGGTCATGTTGGTTCCCCAGCAGGTCAAGTTGCGATGGGTTCCCAGACTTCATGTATTCAACAAATCTGGGGACACACTGCATTGCAATCATGGAGAGGTGCGGTAAACATGCCAGTGCCTCAGGTCGAGCACAGCTACCCAGGGATGCCGCAGAGAAAATCCAAACAGAGAAATGTAGGGGCCGTCCAAAAATTATCAGCTCGGTCCTGGTGTAAGTTGAAAGGTTGAACAACCCGTTTTCAAATCAATAAGGTATCTAAAAGTCCATTCGCAGGACCTGCAGTCTCGAGGGCCAATGGGCTAGCATTGTAGTCGGCAAGGCTCTTCCAAAGTAAATAAAAAGGCTGTGATGGCCTGAGATTTACGACCTGACGTGGTTTCCGATGCGTTTTTTGCCGTACTTAAGCCACGTGTGTCCGTCTCCGTTCACGACTGCTGCAGGAAGCCTGCTCGTATCTGTGCTGAACACAGATCTGACGCGATGGTTGCTGGCCACGGCACTGGCAGAGCTCATATTGCCAGTGGTTCCTGCAACTTCAGCATCGGTTACATTGTCAGTCATACTGCTACGTTAAAAGTATGCAGGGGGTTTGAAGCCGGATTTACAGATGTACTTGGTGTGTTGGTATAGTCTAGCGTATTAAGGCACCGTCTTTACTACGAATTGGGGAACGAAAGCGGAAAGGAATGGAGTGAGCTGTTTGGAAGGGGAAAGGGAAGGCTGGAGGGCTGGTGCAATGAGCTGGTGTTGTTGGGGTTGCATTTGTGGATGGGTTTGCTGTCCAAAGTCGCTCTTGATGGTTGCATAGCAATTTCCGGAGAAATGCGTTTTCTGTAACGCCTGTACAGTGCTTTTTTTTCGCAAAACACTGTCGCAAGCTCGTCATGCCCGTTGTTCGCCACCGTGCGCCTTCTTTTGGCGTCGTGCGCAAGTGTGGGCAATGTAGGGAAAGATGACGGATCCGACTGGGTACTTGGAGAACACCCAGGTTCACCCTGCCACAAATGGGGGCCTGGTGAGGCGTTTCCAGGAATGGCAGGGTATCGTCCTTGTCTGAACAAATGTAGAAGGGTTTTACATTTGTATCTGCCATTGAGGTTGATTCAAACACCTGTCAACCAGGTCAAGGTGTTGTGACGCCAAAATCTATTATGGCAACAATTGTGTAGGGCAAATCAGCCAATTAGATGTCAACGAGGTAACCCTGCCACTGCAGAACCCTGAGTCAAGAAATTACGGGTTTTTAACCCTCTTATGGAGATTATAACTGAGGATTTCATTTTTGAACACTTTGCTACTAGCAGAAGAGAGGGTTCAAAGAGAACTTAAGCGCCCTCTTAAAGTACCTCGTCTGTGTACCATCCCCCCACCCTGTGCTGCTTGCTTGACTCTTCCTCTGTTTTTTATCATGCCAGGAACTGATTTTATAGTGACTTCGCAAAATTCCAGCATCAGTTTAACATTTATAGTAAGCTGAGTGAATTGGCGACTTTCCCAGCAATTAACGAACAGGGAGGTCGCCGCTGGGAGATTTCGTCGAATTCTTTATTTATTACCGGTTACTTTTACAATATATCTCGGTCAGGGCAGGGTTTCGCAATGGTTAAGCTGATAAGCCAGTGCACATGTCCAGTCATGTCATGGTGGGCAGGCGACAAATGCTGTTAGGCGGCCAGAACTCACTCCGAAAACGCCCTGCAACCCAGAGGGCGTGACGGTTGTTGCGGTGGAGTTGGACTCCTGCTGTGGCAGCGCACTGCCTGGGATTTTCAATCCGATCTGTTGCCAGCAAGTGAAGGCAAGGTGGCCGTCCTTCTCGGCTCAAACCAAAGGCCTTTCTTGTCCCTCGTGGTCATCCCCACAGTTACAAAAAAAAAAAATGTTTGCTGGTTGATTACGGCACACGCTGCTCGCCATGGGCGATCGCGTGGATGTGGGCTAATTCCTAGGATTGTTCAGCACTGTCACTTATACCGAGCAGACATGTGATTTTATAGGGCTAGTCTCGTGTTTGTGTGACGTCCACGCACGTGCTGTAAGCTGTGTGATTTCTGCACCGGGTCAGTAAAACAAGTGAGAAACAGGGTATGAAAACATCAACGAAAAAAAAAAACTTCCACCCAATTTGACTCGAAAGTCTTTACGGTTGCTTCTTGACTCAGGCACCCCAAGGACCCTTTGTCCAATTGCGGAAACTGAAGCCAGGTTGTCGTATCCCCATAAGCTAATGATGTTCCAATTCCATGAGGAGGAGGTGATTGTACAGCTCTCACTATAGTATCTTCTTCTTTCAGAATCGCTCAGATCCCAGATTGGGGAAAAGTAGGTCAGGGGCGACCAATAACAACTCAGAGTCCAAATTTCTTACAACGCATACGTTGCATATACCTGCACTAGTTGGCAGTTGGAATGTGATACTTAAGTTGATAAGGGCACTGTCAATGGTGGTTTTCGTAATGTGTTTGGTGATAGGATTCTCTGGTGTTACCAGTATAGTAGTCACGAACATGCACCGACCCCCTCCTCCCACCCCCCCACTTCACAACCCCCAGGTAGCTTTGCGGTGG